CGGTCGGCAATGTGCTCCAAATGCGATCCACAAGACAGAGCTGGCGGGAGTTCGAAGCCAGACACCGCTGCCACCAATATAAGTGTCCAGTTGGTGAAGATATTGGAACTTATAAGTAATCACTCCAGGAATGAAGATGCGAGAAGTGCTGGGATATGAAATGTATTGTTGTCAGAACATGTGCAGTCCGTGACCTCTGACCGGACTGGTCCAATAGTTTGTGGGGGTGTATATTGTATCCTTACAATAATGTTGGTTAATTTGAAATGCGATAAGAGATTCTTCCAAAAACTTGAAATATCTAAATATTAAAAAAACTGGTTAAAACAGTCGCCTCTGTGCCAAAGGTTTTGAGAGGTTAAAAACATTTTTTTTTGTATTGTAAAGGGCTAAAAGTAAAAGACTGAACCAATTAGCTTATAAAACTTAGCATCAAACACTGATTAAGGGACTTTCATATAGAACAAAATTCAACAAACATTGCAGCCAGCGATACAACAGGGACACTACAGTAGTAAATATTCAAAATCTTTTGTCAATATCATGATAATATAATATGGTTAAAAATGTGTATTCTATGTTCATAAATGCATTCACTAAACAATAATACATCGGATTCCTTACTTAGTTAATACTTCATACATCCTTTAAATAGAACAAACGTCTGTAAAAATAAAACCATTAGACATTATCCACAGTTTCTTCTGTTGTTGGAGACTTCTTCATATCTTCTTCAGCATCACGAGAGTTGCCCTCAATATGGTCATTCGTTGACCGTGGTAGCTCGGTGTCGGAGATTTCGTGATTATCCAAATGCCCCCCTATTGGTGTGGAACTGGATTCTACATTTGAGGAGGCGAGTGAGTCGATTTCATCACGATCTTCGCTGTTGTAGACGTCTGCAGTGACGTGGAGCTGCATCCTCATTTGGGCCGACCTCGGGATGTCGTACGCGTTTTCGGTAGCTACTGCCGCCCCATTCTCACCCCCTGGGGAGCCGGAACCGGGTTTTATATAACCCTTGGCCATGGACTCTACCACAGCGTCCAGCTCATCGTAAAGATTCTCAAACTCTGGGCGATCATCTTCCTCCCATTGCCAGCACCGCAGCATCATGTCGTACCTGTTAGAGGCATAACTAAGTCATTTAAGTCATGAGTGATGATTGACAGTGTTACGAGTTTTTAGATGGAGTAGTCAAAAGATACACATGTTTTACCACCATTTTACAGCAAAAACTGAGTGAGTAAACTATCCAACACCCTTCAGTATATTACCTCTAGTAAGGAACACAATTCTAACTTTATTCAAGTGCTACTTTCTGTACACGAACCTTTTTGTTTCTCTTAGTTGTCTGAATTAGTGTTACATTTATTTGATAAATGGTATCATTGCCACTCCGTGATTTTGTTCATTTTTATTATTAACCACTGACCATTCTATCTTACTGATCATCAGAAACAATGTGAATGAAATTGAAAAAAAATGTTTTTCACGTACAGGTCTTGTTGAAGCCCAGGAGGGCGTGGTTCTCGGTATCCAGTGCGGAGTTCATCCAGAAGCGTGCGATCTAGACCCGCATAGGGCACGTTCCCTAACGTAGCGATCTCGTACAGCAACACACCGAAGGACCAACTGGGCGTGAAAATAAGATTGGAATTAGGCCGAGCACAATTTCAGGCTATGGGAAAAAACATGTATACACAGTACTATAAAGATAGGAAATCTTTATCTTTTAAATCATACCCACTAATAAAACTATATATGATAATCCGTAAATAATTTCATCAGGTTGGTAATCGAATGGATAGCAAAGTTCTTTCTTCACAACCATTTATTTTTCACGAGCCAACGTTTCGATGATTGTCTGTCATCTTCATCAGGGCAATTCTGACTGGTTTACAGTGCACTGACGCTAAATATTACCTAGTGCATAGTGCACTAAATAGGTCATCGGAACGTCGGCCCGTGAAAAATAAATGGTTGTGAAGAAAGAACTTTGCTATCTATATAAAAAATTGTGATAATGTTTGCCAAGCCCACATGAAATGACATGCATCGAAGAGCTATACATGTACCTGTTTGTAACTCTTACGTAATGCTGGTTCTAAAACGGTTTTTTTTTACATGTAAATCAACATACGCAATGTATTTAATGCATTCGATCCTTGTTACATCGATCAATTTAAATAGCAACTTTTTCTTGCAATTGATTGCCAGCTAAGAACTAAAGGTTATTATTAAATATATTAAAATTTATTTATTTATTATTATTAAGTTATTTCCAGTTATGTGTTCATAGCGATCATGTTAGAGCGTTCAATGACATTATACTCTATAATGTCATTGGAGCATTATTCTAGTACTATAACAGTTATTGTTTCCTTTCTAGACTATATAACGACAGAAGATAAAATCTAAGTCAATGTACATGGGAGGAGGGTAAAAACAAAGCAATAATTGTACTCACACATCACTCTTGCTTGTGTACCGGCCCTCTCGCTGCAGCCTTTCTGGTGCCATCCACTTCAATGGGATCTTCTGATCCGCGTCCTGCCGCTGGTAGCCTCGCTCGTAGATGTCTGTTGTCAGGCCGAAGTCTGCGATCTTCACCACCAGGTCCTCTCCTACCAGCACGTTTCGGGCAGCCAGATCACCATGCACGTAACCAGCCTGGGAAATGTACGTCTGTTTCGAGAGAAATTAAGAAAACATGCAATTCAAAGTGTAAATTCTAGATTTGTATGAATTAGTACATATGAGATTTTGCATATAGGTCTTAAAAATGTATGAAAGCTGGCAGCAAATAAACTTTATTGAACAACAATTGCACGAGGTACAAAGTATGTCATCTATTGCTATATAAATAAAAATATAACAATGGGACTAATTTACATATGAACACTTATAAAGACCTTATATGAGTAATATATATAGAATGAAATGAGAATGTACTTTTACATTCTATGGTAGTATGTTTAGCATTTAAGTATCTAAAATGGTTACCAAACCTATTATAGCTCCCGAGTCCTAGAGGATGTATGACTCGGGAGGTATAATAGGTTTGGTAACCAGGCAAATCTGATATATGTATTTCTATTAGCTATGTCTATTTACAGTTTATATGTGTTGATGTGTATATAGTTGTGTCTATATTTGTGTCAGTGATAATGGATGTGGTCCGCCAGCCTACCATTCCATTTGCTATCTGCCGCGCTACTTGGTAGACCTCCATCTCATTGAAGTCATACATACTGTCTCGGAGCCTCTCACTCAACTGTGTTACGGATTTACATAAAGAGATAGAGTCAGCATGAATATAATTTGGCTCTATCATATCAGCAAGTAAATTTTATGGATGACATCCTCCGCAGACTCCAAATCTAATGCGAGCGGGCGAAAGAAAACAAGGCGGGCCGAAAAAACAAGGTTCCTACAGTTTAAAATTTTGACTCAATCATTGTACAAATGGTTTTGATTCAGTGTCTGTTTCTTTATAGTTATCTGCCATCCACCTTCCAGCATGGCAACAGACATCTTTGCCCATCTCCGGCATGTTGACCACTGTCAGAGGGCAACAAATTTTTTTTTCCAAAATCAGGAGAAAATTAATGCGCGCGCGGATGTCATCCATAAAAATTACTTGCTGTGGCCTAACTAAATATTATAATGAAAGACATGCCATCCCCAGCCCCCAAAGAGACATTATCAAACAGTACCTTTTGGTAACTTTCAAGTCACAAATCTATGCTTAAGGACTGAATAGAAAACAAAACAATCATCAAAATGTGGTTTTGGAGGAATGAGTTACATTCAGTAATAGTGGGCTAACAGCTATTCTCAATCTACTTACGCACACACATCAGTGCAATCATTGCTGCTAATAACAACAGATATATGCACATAATATTGGCACATAATATTAAAAGTAGCTTTTTCTTTAAAATTCAGTTTCACATTTGTTATAGACAATGAATACTTTAATGACTACATGACGGTACAGAATAGACAACAACTTACCGAATCAAATAGTTGTACCAATTGGCAGAATGAGAACAGATATCTACATTAACGTTGTAACCTGATTATAAAAGAATGTATTTACCTTTCTGCACTTGAGTAGGAAGTTCTTGAGGTCCCCATACGGCATGTACTCCGTCACCAGGTAGGGAGGGTGGGACATCGTGCAGCAGCCCACAAGACCCAACAGGTTGATATGCTGCCTCAGGGTGATGGTGGTGTCCATCTCACGTATGAAATTTTTGATTTCCTCTTCCCCTGCATCTTCTGCAACAAGAAAAGTGTCGTCAATCAACCCGTCACCCCTACTCCCCAATGGTATAGCTCAAGCTATCCAATTCATATGCAATTTATCCGACTCCATCAGTCTAGCATGGTTTTGCATGTGACAATGCATAGCCCAACGAACCAAGCCCCAAACTACCAAACAATCCTGGAACCAACCATTAATTATATAAACCGGGCACAAAGCCGGGGCGCGCCCCGGCAAAAATTAAGGATTTTTTTGGGCATGTAGCTTTACCGGTAAAATTGCCAAGGAGATAGAGTGCTCGCCTTGCATTAGGAAGGTTTGGGGTTCGAACATGGCCTAAGTCAAACCCAAGACTTTGAAAATGGTACAGGCTGCTTCCTCTGATTAGCACTCAGTACTAAATGATAAGATTTCTGTATCACGTACAAACCCACGGTTGATCAGCCCCTACTGTTGGCTTGATAAAAACGAAGATGGACAATGCACCTACACGCCGAAAAGTTCAGACCTGTGGCATTTTGTTCTGTCTTCCTGGTATGACAAGGACCGAAGGAGATTATACGTTGTATAACATGAGTTAGCATTGAAAAAGTAATGTTTCAGACAAGGGCCAAAGAGAGTCGGCAGCTAAAATAGATTTAAGGAAACCAGGCTCGGAAAATAAGTCAGCCAATCTCCGTATGTGGGTAAAGATACAGTATCGTCTTATAAATGACATCTGATAACCCTACCATGGACAGTTTTGACCACCACGGTTTGTTCGGTGAGAAGACCGTCAACAGCCCTCTTTAAAGTGGCGAGGAAGACGATACCGAAGGCACCTCTGCCGATCTGTTCGTTCAGCTGTAGATCAGTCGGGTTCACCTCGTACTCCAGGAACTGTGGCCGAGCAGGCACAGGCGGGGGAAGTGGGGATGGTGGCCTGTTCACACCTGTACGTAATTCTGGGAACAAAAGCAGTGTAGCAACATACTTTTATTCAGTACGTAATGTCTGTGTAATACTGCATGACTACATCAAATATAACTCCATTAATGTCTTACTGACACCACAAAACATGACACTGTAGTTGTGTTCGAAGATTGACTCCGGGAGGTATTAACAATGCAACATTTTAGCATAATTTTGGTCCATTCTTTCTGTAACAATAATATATTTAAGGGTAGATCTTATACTATCATGACAGTTCATCTGTGGTATAGTTACATGTTTAAAGTTATAACAGGATGCAAATCATTATATGATGACTATTTCTTACTATGCAGTGGTTAATTGCACATGCGTACAATAGAATTGCAAAAATGAAAATTTTATTTACCTAGAATATCGGGATGGAATTGAAACTCAAGGTTGTCGCTTTGTTTCTTTTTTCTCCACCGGTAACCAAGAATTCCTGCTACTACTCCCAGTACAAGCAGTACCACAGATGGCACCACGGCAATCATCACCACGTGTAAGGTGGTCAGTCCTGCTGTTTCAGCTGAATCAGAGGAAGTACATATCAAATGTGTACTGTTGTCTTTTAATTAGATGATTTACATATTCTACATATGACTCACAAAACATGACATGTGTGAATTTTAAAACGTGGACAAAGGTCATCTCTTAGCCAAATTGCAACATACACAAACAGGAGTAGGTATACAAATAGAACTTCG